CAGGAGATGGAGGAGACCCCCGGGACTTGGCATTCGCACGAGGGAAGAAGGTCCCTATAGCAACATGGGCACCCCTGCCGGGACTTGCAGGGTGGCCCCAGGGCACAGCACAGAACTGCTGTCCCCACACGTCACAAGCCACCGATGAGCTCTGCCACTGCCGGGTCATAAATGTGTTTTATGTCACCGTGTTGCTGGCGGCAGCCTCATCTCCCCGGGCCGGGGCCACCTCCTAACCATCCGGAACAAAGACCAATGTCCGACCAGAGCGGACACTGGCCTGACCCTCACCTCTGTGATGGGCGCCGCTCTCCAGAGTCCATCCAGTTCTGTGGGCTGGACCCAGAGCCCATCTGTAGCTTCTCCCCCGTCTCATGGGGGGGGGGTCCAATTGCACACACAAAAGGAACCGTCTCAGAAACGCCCGAACCTGCTAGTTATCAAGGCTGAAACTTAGCAGCCAAGTTTAAACAGAACTAATCAGGAAGAAGTCAACACGTCTGGGGAAACAGGCTTTTCTAGGTCATATGACTTTACTTTTATTCTGAAAATAATCTGTATAATGGCTGGTGGATACAGGAACTGTTTCATTTGGGGGAAGAGGGGTAGAGTGGGGTTAATGAGAACTGTCCTTGAGAAGGGCGCCCCAGGGGCAGAGATGCACATACACAGGAATAAGCTGTGTAAGAGAAACACAGGTCCGGGCTTCTTTTTTTTGGCTTTGGAGTCAGGTAAACCTATCTTCAAGCCCCGGATCTACCCTCGGCCGGCGCTGGGACCCGGGCCAGGCTCTTAGCGGCTCTTTGCCTCGGTTCCCGGAGACGAACAGGAACCACACCTGTCACCTGCGGCTGGCGCGAGGCTGGAGCAGGGGACAGTTAGAGCCCTGGAGCCGCGCTCGACCGGAGCGACGCAGCGAACGGCACCTGCTGGGACCGTCACGAGGGACATTTTCTTACAGCGCATCACCGCCCAAGCCCGTGGAATTCCCACTCGGCACTCAGGCCCCTGGAAAAACCACTTAGACTAAAAACCTAAACCTAAACCACCTAAACCTAAACCACAACCACCTAAACCACCTAAACCTAAACCCCCAAACCTAAGTCACCTAAACCTAAACCACCTAACCTAAACCACCTAAACCACCTAAACCAAAACCACCTAAACCTAAACCTAAACTTAAACCTAAGCCACCTAAACCTAACCCTAAACCACCTAACCCTAAACCACCTAACCCTAAGCCACCTAAATCTAAACCTAAACCACCTAAACCTAAACTTAAACCTAAACCACCTAAGCCTAAACCACCTAAGCCTAAACCACCTAAGCCTAAACCACCTAAACCTAAACCCCCTAAACCTAAACCACCTAACCCTAAACCACCTAACCCACCTAACCCTAAACCACCTAACCCACCTAACCCTAACCCACCTAACCCTAAACCACCTAACCCTAACCCACCTAACCCTAAACCACCTAAACCTAACCCACCTAACCCTAACCCTAACCCTAACCCCACCGGGGCGCAGCGGGGCGGCGGGGCCCGGCTGCCGCACAGCCCGTGAGAAAGGCCGGAGGCCGTCTCGGGCCCTCGGGGTCTGGGGTACGGCCGTGGGAGGGGCTCCTCCTATTTCCCCCCCTTTCTGACCAGGAGAAAAAACGAGCATTTGCATCAGCAGCCTCGACGGGCCGACGGGCTCAGGGAGCCGCTCCAAAGCCCCGGGGTCAGCCCCGCGCCCCCCAGCGGTGCGCGCCGCACGGCCCCCGCGGCCTCGGAGCACGGCTGTGACAGTGTCACGCGCGGGGGCTGAGGGCGAGGTTTCTTCCCGCGACATTAAGTCCCAGTGTCCTGGTCCCCACCTCCCAGGTCACTTTCAAGTCAGGCCCTGGCTCCAAGCGGAGCGACGCCAGGCGGCCGGAGCCCTGGGCGACGCTGCCCCCCAGTGGCCGGCGCGCGCACCGCAGCCGCCCGTCCGTCCCTCGAGTTCTAGGTTTCATCTGGGACAAGCGACCTCTTCCCGCCGGTTACTGCGCCCGCAGCCTCCAGCCCGCAAGGACATGCCCTCCTTTCCCCGCAGGAACACGCATGGGCCCCAGTAAAACCCACAAGCCACGCGGGTTACTTTAAAATACACATTTGGGTAAATGATGTTCGGGTGGAAAACAGCCGGAGCCACTAAAAGCACAAATGTCCGGCGCCAGGGCCCCCAGCTCTGCTGTTATAACCAGCGCCCCGGGGAGAGTCTGTAAAAGCAGAATCGGGGAGTCTGTCCCGTTTTGCTTTCTCTCGGGTCCCCCTGCAGCCGAGTCGGCCTGAAGGAGACACAGGTCCCCCAGGCGCCCGGGGCGCGCACCTTCCCCGGCTCCCCGCGTCCCCTCCTGACGCCAGGAGCGAGCCAGACCCGACCCCTCCGCGACACAGAAACCGCGGAATGGGGGTGGCTGGGGCGCAGCAAGACACGGGGGCAGCTGTCGCTGTGTGGGGGATGCAGGCTCCCCAGCCCCACGCGGCCAGCACAGGGCA